GTGCCGTACTGGACGGCCCAACCTTGGTGGCAACAGTTGATGGAGTTAGCGGTTGACCTTGTGTTCCTGCCGTCGAATACGGAGCTGTTTGCGCCGGGCGAGGGTGGGTCGAGCACCTATCTACCACCCCCTTCCTGGCAGGTCGTGGCAGTGCGGGTGCAATCTTCATGTGGGCGCTTTGCTTAGCACTCGGTCGTTCCGTGAGGCGCTGCAAGTTCGGCCGTGTGTGTGCCCCGCTGGGAGCGCTTTCCTAGCATTTCACCCTTCCCCGTGGGCCGCGTTATTTGTTATAGGGGCCGTGGGACCATCTTTGAGGGAACGCCGTAGTTGCTTTGCGCCAGGGGAGCAGTTATGCAGTTATGTGGAGCGAATAGGTAGGGATTTGTCGTGTGTGCGCTCCTTAGGCACCGCGCAGGTAGTTGGTTTTTCGTCGCTTGGTGTTAACCTGCGTTTGGTTTCTCGTGATTTCGGAGCGGTTTCACTTGCTTGGTATCCGGGGTACCGCTGGTTCCAACCCCGCTGGATTTGGGACTAGATTCGAGTAGTACCTTTGGCGCGGAATAGGTCCCGGTTTCTCGCTGGATCTGCAGTCCGTTGCGACATCCCCGGTCTTTGATAAACCGTCTTCTTCGGGCCTCTCAGTCCATTTCTCTCTTTCATTCTTTGTAACAGAAAATGGCATTTACCTATGGAGCAACAACTAATCAAGCCGGACAGTAGCCCTGACAGCTAGCACAACTGGGTACATTCAGTACTTCCGAACTAATGGGCGTCCCCTGCTTCCCGAACATGGTATTGACTTCTGTGCAGCATGATGGAATAAAGCGTCTGCACATATTACTCGGTTGCATGCGCAGATAGGACGAACATAAATGTACTATGGTGCTGTTGATGCCCCCTGGCATATACAGCAGCTCCGCGGTTGCTGTCATAAGTCTTCCAAAAGATATGATCCGCCGATCCATGGTTCCAGCGCCCAAGTTCGTTAACTCCCTTGTGACTTGGCCTACCTCCGTAGCATGCTTGGAAGACTCTGCTGAACGTAAATGTATTTGGCGCATATCACTCATAACGCCTATAGTCGGCCTCGGACATCTACAGCATTTGGACGGTAAGCCAATACTTCATATCATTAAGACATTTGCGGGTAAAGGTTGGCTTTGAGGCCTGCATGTCAAAAAGGTCAGGCCGGCAGGGAGGTGCTTCGGGAGGAAGAGACGCATCAGTACCGAGAGAGACTACCCCTGATTAACCAACATACCAAGAACAATAGCGCCTATGGAATGCATGCCACATGCGCCGTCAGACGCCTTTTGCCATGGAATCAAAAGAATTCCGTCTAAAAATAGGAAACATACGACATCCGCATCAGTGCCATATACTTCCACCGCTATGCATAGCCACGCCTCGACACTCGCAGCAACGTGTGGAGAATCCAACCCCCCAAATCTCCCCTATAACAGACGAGAAGAGAGGCATTTCCGGCCTACATACAGTCACACGTTTGCAGCGCCACCGCTCCCTTCAGCGCCTGAACCGCTTCGTCACCAGGGCATCGGGCCGCATAGGACGGGATACCAGAGGAAAGAGTGTGGAAGCTATTTCTTACCACCCTTGCGTCCACGATTATCTTCATGATAATCACATGCCCGCGGCAGTTGTCTCCTCCTAAACCTCAAGCTCCCCCGCCTGATGCCATTTCCATATACGAGCACGTAAGTCGTGTCAAGAGTAATACACGCGCATCAAAGGTTGTCTGCGTCTATTATTCAACTTTGATCAAACCTGAGCGAGGTGCGACGACCATTCATTTCGCAGCGTCTTCCAAGCTGGACCTCAATAACATCAACGGCGCTATGTCCCACAGCAAACACTCTCTCGGTGAAGACCGTGCGAATGGCCGCAGAACAAGCCCGTCCGATCCAACCGAACCGCCAATGGCGACGACCGCACGGCCAACGACATTGGCAGTCAAGGGGTCCGGAACTAGTCCATGCCATACGGCGAAGGGGCAACATACACGGCCGTTTGCCGCGATCAGTTAGCTGGAATGATGTATTACCACGGAAGCGCGGGGACGCTCTTGACAGGAACTCCACAAAACGAGTATGCGAGTCACAAGACGTAGTTTCTATTTCACTTTTCCGGCACATCACGCATCGCGAAGTAGTTCCAAGCTACAAGCGTAGTTCCAAGCCCCCTCCGCTGCCGGGCCTCATATACGGACCTCCTCCCTACATGTGGCCCTGACCAGGCAAGACACTAGGGGTTGTGTGGCCTGCAGGACCCCGGGTGCCGGTACCGACGCGCCTGGCACCTGCGATTAACACGCCTCAATACACTATCCTCCATTTCACTGGATAATGCTCTCTACCCCAAAGCACATACTAACCCTGCATATACCGCCTGGCATATTCCGGCATGATCTAGCCCAAGCCTCGCATGACCTCAGTCTTCGCACCCCGCTCCGTCGCAGTGCCACACCCCGCGGCTCACCAAACACGCAGGAGCGCACACACCCCCGTGTCCCTAGTGGAAAGACCCAGGTTCGCATGACTACTGTGCTACAAGCCCAAAGCTGATTTCATCCAAGCAGTTAAAGAATCGTTGATCCAGGTGACGCGCGCGGGACCGCAGCTCCCTTCGAGTTCCTTTAGACTGTGCTTGCCCTATACAGATTACGGACAGTGGACGGCGCGCGCTCGTGTGTGCTGCCAATGGCTGTCAAGATCTGTATACTGTTCGGCACGGGCAATATCGGTCATACGTACAAACGGTTAGGAACAATAGCCCAAAACTTTACGACCACTCTTCGCGTTCATTCTGAAGCGCTCCACTCCACTCCACCCAAGGAACTCCACTCAAGGAAAAAACACAAGATCGATAGCATGCAGACGCACGTGAACATGGCTTAAAAACATACAAAGGATGAACAAAAAACATACCGGCACGTATGACACCTATAATGCAAGACACAACTCTCCGCTAGGTGCTTTCCCCGCCACGTTGGCGGTCCTCCTTGTTCCCTGTCCTCGTCCCTGTGACTACATTTCAATCCGACGCAAAAAGCTGCAGTGAGGAGCGGCGTTCCGATTTCTGTCACCATGGAACTGTCCGGTTGCGGGGGCATTGCAACGGCGAGGGCACGACGATAGAGAAGTGGTTTTGGTCGTCCAAAACTAATGGAGGAAGCGTGCCGCCGAACTGCTTGATCTGGGCATCCATCACCTGGGTGGCCACGAAGTCCATGGCTCTGCGGTGGTATGGTACGGAAGGGAGCTTGGGTTAGGGAGAACTTGTGATGGTCAAACCCGGGTAGTTTACAGGCAGGGCAGATTTAGAGGGATGGTGCGTAAATTTGCGTAGGTCGAGGAAGGGAAGGAATGCACGATGGGAGCCCCAACGGATGAATGGATGAACGTAACACCGTAATACGGGGCACAAATGGACAGCGCGAGCGGGGGCACCTAAGGTGCTTTACACGCAACAAGAGGTTGGGTAATTATAGCTTGCATTCATGTTCAGGGCGAGAGTGTTGGCACGTGCGTAATTTTTTTCCAGCTTGTCGTGGCAACCACTGCAGCTTCCGCAGCCGCCCGTTCACGTGACCATCAGGCCCAGCTCCCAGGTACCTTTTGACAGCTTGCTTCAGCACGCTGATCTTCACGTCCACCCCTTCGTACATGACGTCCTGATAGAAGTTGCCTAGGCCCACAGCCATGTTCCGAAACACGTTGTTGGCGGGAACCTGGATAGCAGCAACAAAAATCATACAGATCCAGCACAAAAATGAGCGGGCGGCGGGATGTATAGCCAGCTAATGCAACGACGCCCCAGAATACAAAGGCGCGTGCCTGCCATAACAAAAGCCTTCTAATGCAGGGCTCCCGGCTTCAACTCATGCTAATAGATAAGATACGCCTTGCTGGGCGGCCCAAGCCCAGCCCCAGCGAAAGCCTTGGCGGGGGGGGGGGAATGCATTCCGTGGTGCGTTTCCCAGCATGAGGGTCCCCAACTGCCTTCCCCATCTCATTAACCTTTCTCACGACTTTCCAGCACTACGAACTATTCCCTCGCCCCTTTCCCCGATCCACGCTGCAGTTCAAAGGTCTCCTCCAAAGCCTCCTTCTTCCTTCACCTGTGCAAAAGAGTCACCCAGAAGCTGCAACACAGCGCTCTGTCCTGGAGGCATGAAGAAACCGTGCGTCAGGCCTGCGCCGTGCACGCCCACGAGCACGCCTGTGCGAAAGATCAGCTTGAGCTGTTGGTGGTACGGGATGTCGTTGAAATCCCCGTCAACGAAGGTGAAGAGCACATTGGTACGGCGGCAGTTGCCCAAGCCCGTGGTGTCTTCCCAAAGGCTCTCCATGGAAATTGCCTTGGCGCTGCTCTGACCCTTAGATCCAAATTTGGATCGCAAAGGGTCACGGTCCAAACCCCAACCTGAGTCCCCTGTCTCTTCGTCCTCATCGTCGCCTCTATCGGTGCGTGTTGTTAACCTGACGTCTTCTTCCTCATCGTCACCGTCGTTGCCGTGCTCGTCAATGTCGCTTCCGCCGGTACCCTTTGACGCTAGTACCGATCGCGCCGTCCTGCCACCTTCGCCCACGCTGCTGCTGCCAGCCCTTGCCACCTCCATATCATGCTCGCCTGCCATGTGCTGCTGGTCCTGCCCGGCTCCATCCTGATGTTCTGAGCCCAGATTATAATCATCGCCTTCTTGGCCAAGATCTTCGCCCAAGTCGCTCGAGTTGAGGTCGGGTGGTTCCATCTCCAATCCGCCGTCCGCTACCGCCCCATGCAGCTTCCGCCGATGCCGGCCCTTGCGTGGCTTCGGGGATGTAGTTGACGCTCTCCTCCGCGCCGCGCCCACTTTTCCACTCTCGCCGGAATTCCCACCGGGGCCGATGTGTATGGGATTCACCGTGTACAGCGACTCCTCGTACGCCTGTAGCCGCACGGAAGGCAGCACACCTCATTATAAAGGACGCGAGATCAGATGCGTCGCCGTGTCGGCGGCTAGGCGCTTGCCCCTGCCTTTGCGCTGACGTGAAAAACGTGATGCAGTTACGAAAGTAACAGCAGTGTTATCCGCCTGAAGGAGCTACAAACACTTAGCAATGTGCTACAACACCACAAGCAGTGTATCATGCGTAAACTCCACCTAACTGCCCCACTGTGGGCTCCAGACTGCCCTGCGCAGACATGCTGGATTGCTGCTCAAGCGGCTGTTGCCATGCACCTTACCTTCTGAATGTCTCGCTCGAAGGCGCGCACAAGGCAGCTCTCGGAGTTCCATTCCTGCACTGCCGCTAGCATTCCCGCAACCACCTGATCCTCATTGCGGACCATTCGCATGGCCTTCCAGCCCACAGATGCGTTCAGCAGTAGGCGCACAAGCTCCAAATTCCTGCAGACGAATTGCCAAGTAACTGTTCCTGCTCATGTAGTCAACCACATCCAGACATACTTCACAGCCATACCCGAGGTATCGTGTCCTCACCTCCGGCTCAGCCAAACCACATTCTTCATTACGATGCCAGACGTGGGCGCCCGCATACCGCGCACCCCCGCCGCCGCAGCTACTGGCCCAGCTGTCGCCGCCGCTGCTAAGGCCGGCGTCAACAGGTCTGGATCCACTGGCATTGCTGGGTCGCGCTCCTCGTAAAGTTGGCGAAGCCAATGGCTCAGGCCCATTGCCACGGGGCTCTCACAGCTGACTGTCTCACCGTTGGTGTTGTAGCCGATGCCCGCGGCAAAGGTATAGACGTGGTAAGCGGAGCGGAAACAGGTGTTTGCTGGGAAGGGGTCATGGGCCAAGATGCGGAGGCGATACGGGCGGGAAATTCGCGCCCAGGTCTCTAGGAACCCCGTGGGCGGCGCCTGGTCCACAATCACCACCTGCATGAGAACAATCACCACGGTGATGGACCATGACATAAGTTTAGCAAAACAACAAGCCAAACCGCGTGTTGACCGGCAGGACGTCCTTACAGAGCAGGAGTAGCCGGACGGCCAGCCACTATGGCTGGCTAGCCGGCAGGGGGAGACCCAGAATGAACGATAAGACTGCGCTGGTAGATGGGAACTGTATTGAAACCATGCCCTGGAAGTACATCATCGTGCTGAAGTAGCTGTATGTCTGTCTGCATGGGAAAGCTGCGTGGACAAGCACAACAATCCGCAGCGCCAATGGTTGGCAGATGTACTCGTCATGGTGCCAGACATCGCCACGACGCACTATTGCGGGCCATACGGTTGTCCCAGGGCAGCAAGAGGTATGACGTTCACAATGGTGAGTACTGCAATCTCGCGGAGGGAATTCAAGCCATGTCTCACAATTTTCACCCTCATTTTGTGCGCCCACTCAAAAGATTGGCCCTGCTACCGTGATGTGCGCCGGCTGGCATGGCTCCACCATGTTTGGGACACGGCTATGGGAGACACGGCTATGTAGCGTTCAAAGCCCAATGCATCGCCAATAGATAGTCATGGGCACGTTAGCGTTATTCGGGCCCACCCATCCTCTTGACATTTTCGGACTGCACAGGTCCCGGTCCCTAAGTCGGGTTACCGTCCCTCAAAGCCGCCGCTTCTCGGCGGCCAAAAACAGAAGTCCGACACCCTGCCGGTCTGGTAGTTCGAAGTCCTCGGCATCAGCAGATGACAAACCTTCCTTGCATGTTCGGATCGAGGTTCAATGATTCAATTTCTCCTGTCGACGTGCAGAAGTCACAACTTCATTCCCATTTGTCCGCTGCGCACCTGTATCCCCCGCTGCGCAACATCCGCTGGCTCCAACGCCGCCAGGAAGGAGAATGCCATGGACACCGTCTCCATCTCATGGGCGTAATTGGCATGCCGATCGCGCATTACGAACAGCGTGGGCGTAGTCACCAAGCTCTTCGACCCGGAAGCGCAAAATTTCGCCACAGCGCTATCGTCCTGCGGATTCAGGGACAGTGATAGTGCAGGCAGGTCAGGTGTCAAGTGCAGCTACGTTGTTTGCGATGCTTACCAAGCCGTGATGTTACTGCGCTTTAGTTATGACTGTGGCGCGGGCAGATACAGGTCTGCTGGAGGATTAGCTGGCCTGCTACCCATCTGGCACGCCCTGCCTCCAAGCCTCATAATACTTAATAATGTAATAGCCGCGTCCAGCAACACCTTGAGCAAGCGCGTCCTTGCTTTGAATGCTTTGAAATCTCCCGCAGCCCTGCCTCTCGAAACCGTCTCCGCGCCCAGTGCAAGATGTCTCAAGTTCACTGATAAATCCGTGCTCGCTTGGAGATAACAAGGTAAACGTTGTGTTCTTCCCCGACAGCGTGTCTTCCCCGACACGCTGTCCCTCCACTTGCCGTTGAACCAAAAAATATAAAATTGCCTCATCAGCTACCCGCTGCTACCACGCACCCGTGTCGCGTTTAACCACCAGACTTCGTGATGTAAAGAGTTAAGCCACTGCAGGTCGCTGCTGCTCTCCATTAAACTCGTGTAGTTTGCCATGTCGCACGCCAGCTTGACCGAGCCCTGGGCTGGCAGCGGAAACTGCAACGAGCCGAGACGGGGCAAAGAGTGGTGGAGAGGTACCGAACAACGATGTGGGTCGTACCCTGTTCTTATGTTTGGTAATGCCTTCCACTGCAAGCTGGTTAACGGCGAGGTAGGAATTCGGCGTGTTCCGTGGCGAGGGGCAGGTGTCATGTATGTGCATGTGTACGAGATAGCTTAGAGACACTGATACCCCAGGCGCGGAGCAATCCTGGCTTGTTGCATGGAAGCATGTAACAAGCTTTTGCAGTGTTTGCAAAAATGGAAACCTGAATTACCGCCCGCCCATGCGGCCAAAACACACGGAGCGTGCACGCTTCCCGGCGAACTCCTTGCTTACCTTTTTGGTAAGGGTGCCTTTTCGCCGCCCAGACAAGAATGCGCAGGTGTCTAATACCATGTTGCGGCTACGGCATAAGGATATAGATGCCTTACTTCCCATTTGGACGTGCGGCGCCGTGTAGCAATCAACTGAAGACTGTGACGAAGACAACGATGGCTCCTTCTGACTGCGGACATCGCTGGAAGCATGCAATTTCCTGATGGAAGCTGAGCGCCCTTGGCTGCACAGCATTTGCTTGCTGCTCCTGATAAGATCGAGGTAGCCCATCCCAACATATTTCGAACAATCTGTGCTTGGCTGGTATCCCTCAGGCCGATTTCGTAGGCGAACATGAGATTTCACGACGAAAGCCGATGGCTGTAAAGGGGATGGGCCACGACGGTGCAATGAAGTGCAGAGAACAATTTGAAACCAAGCCATCTCCGATGGGCTACACGATACTAGACGCACCTCGAAAAGAAGGCTGCTCCAATTAGCATCCCGCAACGTTGCCCAGTTCTTAAATGAGTGAATGCGCTGTGACTGGGTTGGTAGCAGGCCCACGGCAAGCAAGAGAACGATGTAACGATGCATCATACGCACTATTGTGCAGGCAAGCCTATCATCCTGGAACCTATGGGCGCAGTCAAAACGACAAGTGCCTCCTCGTGAGGTCAGAGTTTACAGGTATAAGTTGCGCATCCTTACAGTTCGTCTATAATAAATAAACATCACAACGTGTATTCACATCCTGCGAAAATCCTGCTATGCCCCAGCATAGAGGCACAATTTAGCGCTTGACTGCCCGACTTAGTGACGGATCTGTCTTAGACACGAATTATGCTGGTTATGCACTTTTAGAAGGACACACGACATATATCATGCAAAATGATATATCTTGACATGCTAAAAGGGAAGCGATGTTCCCATGCTCGGCCAGGATTGCATCACGCAATTCGACTGACACGCATTGTATACGTCCCGTATACTCATCCGTGTCACAAGTTGAATTGCATTGTTTGAATCTAGGTGACAACTAGAGAGTGAAATTTTGGCAAAGCTGTTGCCGTGAGTGACTCGCCCACCATAACCTCCTTGCGCTTGAGGCTTCTCAGGTTGTTGAAGCTACATCTTTCATGACAGCTCGTACATCTTTGAGCTTAGGGATATAGTTGGCGAGGTTAGAATTATGTTGCTTGTTGCGGTCGTGGCCTATTTTTTAGTGTTTAGGTCTCCTGCGGCATCAGCTTTAAATGATGATAACGGCGTGGATAACTCCGTAACCAGCGGCTCTGATGGGAGGTTTGGCGACTCGGCAAGGAATGGCAGGGATTACTGGGAACGACTTGTGGGCACACCTTCGCGTCTGGCACGCGCGACTGAAAAAAAAGGCGTGTTACCTATACACAAGTACAGCATGGAGAAGTTTGACGTGCATCCTTTCCAGGTGACAGCTACAGCACAATTTAGTGCACTCTTGCAGGACCGTACTTAGCACGCATGTGCTGCACATTGAGCCGCATCCGCTTCAAATAACACATATACCTAAGTCGCGCTGTCAGTACTGCTAGTCACCAACTGCCGTCAACCCCGTATCCTCGTCTAGCCCTCTTCTAAGCCCTTCACCACCTTCTTCCACTCACCCCCTAAAGTGGGTCTACTTCACACTTGCCAATGCTAATCGCTCCCTCGAGTATTATGTCCCGCGGCAAGCTGCCCACCCGTTCAGGCTGGGCGGACACATGCAGCCCTGCCTCAGCACCGTCTGGGCCCCACCTCTTAAGCCCCATCCGGTCGTAGAAAGCTTCACGACCAGCAGCAGCCGTGTCCACTGTCCGATCGTCCCCGGACAGGCGGGTGAACGTCGCCACGCAGACAGGCGGACCGGACCCAGCGGGGCAGACCCACATCCCTCAGGCCCAATCGGGGTTCGGGCTTATGTTACCCGCCCGTTAAGAGTCCTGCTGAATTACCTCCCGAGATTCCGCAGCCCAAAGCTACTCAGCAGAGGAGCACCATAGGCAAAGTGTTATCGAATAGTTGCGCCATGGACAACACCTTGGGGTCCATCCTGCTCCGGAACACGCCCCCACATGACCAACGTCGACCTATGTTGAACCCACCGCATCACCTTCCTCTTCCTCACCGACTGGGAAGGTTGTTACCATCCCGTCCCGCCATACCTAGGTGGCGTGCTAAGGATGGGTGTATTCATAGCAGCAGGGAATGTTAAGTGTTCCTGTTCCGCTACACCGTAGGAAGGAAGTTTGAATTGAAAGCTGTTCCGTCACTTACACGCACAGCTTCCCTGCCGTGGCGTATCATCCAGCACCTGGTGCCTGGGGCGTTTTGGCAGTTGACCCTCTGATTCTTGTGTTCAGCGATTTTGCCAACCGGGTGGTTACACAACCTAACGAACCTCAATCCTTTACTGGGCTTCGGCCTTCTGCCCTTGGGCCCCCTCATGGCCCCCGTATGCTTGTATGGGCCCTCGCTAATACACCTTGGACTTGGGTTACGCAACTCCAGATAGAAGGTGGTGGTGTGACACGTGCATACGTACATACGTACATACATATGTTGCACTGGCTGCCGGCAGCGCTGGCCGGGCCATGCGTCCACTTGCCCTACTCCCCGCCATTTTACTGAATCTGAGCCAGTACAACGTGAAAAAGACCGTCTAGCTGAAAAAATGTGCTCAGTGTGCTCCAACCCCTTACCTTCCAGGTGTGCCACTGTGGGCCTCAGGTCTCCACACGCTCTTCTTTCCCTCGTGCCTCCCTCCGTCTCCCCTCCACTCCGCTCCGACCTGTCCTGAGCTGTCCTTTCCCACACGGTTGCGTGCCGAAGCACAATCACAGCCCGCGACGCTATTTCTCATTTCCATTACCCCGCAGGCGTGGCTTCGAGACTACTCCTTAACAGCTTACTCCGAGGTCACGCCGCGGTCTCAAATCCCGCCGCCGCCCTTGTCCTTCATCTGCGGCGTCTGGCTTAACCCCACCTACAAATTCATTTTCATTCGGAACCGGAAGACCGCCTCATCAACCTTCATCACGGCCGTCAAGCGGTTCATGCTGGATGCGAAACTGTGCGAAATCACAAAGGACGCCAACGGCAATTCCTCCAACAACTGCTTCGCTCGCCTAGAACCCGAGGAGATCACCCGCGCCGGCTTTGACGTGGAACGAATGTGGCGCGACTACTTGGTGATCACCAGCTCACGCAACCCTTGGGCGCGCGCAGCAAGTGGCTATCAGTTCACGTTCGACAAGTGGAACAAGAAGCTGACCGACGGGAGCTGCAAGCAGCCAACCTTTCTTCAATTCTGCAGGTGTGTGTGTGTGTGTGTGTGTGTGTGTGTGTGTTCAGCCGTGACCCTTCCTTCCCGTGTTCACTTTGGTACGGAGATGAAAGCCTCGTAAGGTGGCGATTCGTACGGTATATATCGGTCCTGTGGGGGAGCGGTCCGCGATGCGACGGAAGGACTGATCGGCGGCATGAACCATGTGGGTCAGGCGGTTGGTGGTGTTCGTGGTGTGCCGCAGGGATCCGTTTGTGATGGGCAAGGTGTCCAACCTTTTCAAATGCGCGGAGGGCCAACGTGAGGGGGTGGGGAGTCGCGAGGAGGGCCACTGGAACTTTGACTTCTGTCACGTGGAGCCGGCGACGCCCTGCATGGTGGACGACCAAGGGCAGCTCGTAGTGGACTTCATGATCAGGTGGGGGGAGGGAGGATTGGGGCGGGGGTGAAGGTTCGGGAGGGAGGGAGGGAGGGAGGGAGGAGCTCGGAGGGATGATTGGGGTAGGACAGGGCCTTTAAGAGGGAGGGAGGGAGGGAGGAATTCGGTGGTGGGGGGGAGAATTTTGGGGGCAGCGGGAAGGTACGGGGGACGGGTAATCAGATCTGGGTTTGCTGATGGGTGAGAGGGAAGAAGAGGGAAGGAAGGTGAGAAGGTGGGTTGTGTGGAGAGTGAGTGGTGGAGGAAGGGCCGGAACAGGGCGCGATGTGGGATGACTGACGCAAGGCTGCTTGAGGCGATGGAGAACATGCAGGTAGCCATGATGTTGACTTGGGTCTTGGGGTAGGTATCACGTGCAGCGCACAGATGAAGCATGTGTGAGGTTTGATTAGGCAGAGCCCTAGTGGATGGTCCTATTAGGGTCTCAATCGCAAAGTTTTAGCGCAAAGCTATACACAAAGATCACAAAGACGGCGTCGGTTGGTCAACCGGTGAACCCCACCCCGTGAAGGTTAACGCAAAGCGACTTGGCGGACGAACATTTGTAACGTTAACATAGTTGGGCGTTGGTATGGTGCTTCAAAGGATCGTACATATGTCAGCATGTGCGGTATGTGTCTCCTTGTCGTATGCAGGTACGAGCGACTTGAAGAGGACATGCACGCAGCAATTGAACTGATCAACTCGCGACGGCCCGCGGGTACTCCAGCAATTGAGATCCCGGGCTCTGTTAAGTGGAGGAATAAGGGTACGATAGCCAAGACGTACGACATCAACAGCACTGACGCAGCGGCCTTCGTATATGCACCTCGGTATCGGGCCTGCGGTGCCCCATGTGTGGATGCACTTGCCGACTTTTACGCCGATGACCTGAAGCTGTTCGGCTGGGACAGGCCCGATCCGCCACCCTCCCATTCCAATTCCTGATCGCCGCCAAGAGTCCCCCAAATGTGCACATTCATCCGGTGGGGCTGCCAGCTTGGTTTGGCTCGGCTCTCCAGGACTTGCCGGTCTCTATAATCCTCTTGGTATTCCCAGGCTAAGGTTAGGTTGGCAAAGAAGGAACTTTGTCAACCTGCTAAGGTAACAGGTTGACGGGGTCGTAAAAATATATATATCTATGTATATGGGTTTGATCGTCGGCCAAGACACGTCGCATGGCAGGAAGGAACTTGCTGGCTGGGGCGGCTCTGCGAGCCAAAGCCAACCGCGCTCAACCTGGGGTGAGACCCAGAATGGCGACCACACCGCCGTAGCATCCAGTGGCTACACGTCCCGACTGATGCGGGCCTGTGATGGCAGGCGCGCTGGGAATCTGAAGCTCTGTGGAACTCTGTGCATTGACTTGATGACGTGGTGGTACAAGCGCAGAGGTTCACACCGTGCAGAGGGTCACCAAGGTGGACTCGGCTGGCGGGAATCTTGGGATTTGAAGCTTGCTTGCTGCGCGCAAGCGCCTCGTTCATACATTGCAAATAGCCTTGCTGGACATGTCGCGGCTGCAGGTTTCACCAGCAGTGAAGATTTAGGTTTTCTTACCTTTGCAGCTACATGTGGGGGATTCATTCATCGGGTGTGATTGGGACGTTGCGCCTTGATGTTTTTGCAGTGCTCATGAATTTTGAGTAACAGTCTGAGCTTGAGTGAGTATGTGGAGAGGAGGATAAGGGGTAGTAGGAGGAGGTCTGAAGGTAGAGGGGCTTGCAATGAAGGTGGCAGCCATGGCCGCTTGGGCCCCGTGACCCTTGGGTGGCTGTGTTGCGGTCACACAGAATCGCCTGAGAGCAGTGTAGACATGTCGATGCGCCCTGAAAAGGTGCGATTCGCTTTCCTCAGTGTGTCGCTCTAAATGTTTTGTCGTGTCTGTTACGAAATATGACAGTTGCTCAACTTTATTCATCATTCACATGGGGGCACATTGCGACTGTGTACGACAGGTGTACTGAAGTACAAGCCACGATTTTATACCGAACCGTGGTAATGTCTTAGTGAGGCGAGATGGTGGTTCACTGGATTGCCGGTTGTAAGTGCTGTTGGCGAGCAGGGTACGACAGCAGGTTGATAAACGGTTGTGCGTGAGCATGTACTGCCAGCCGTATCGACTTATGGTTTGGATTTAAGAAATGGACAAGCTGACCCAGTTTGATCACGGAGAATCACGGAGAGAGGCAAATGCCAAATGTTCGAAAGCTAGAAGCAGCATAGGCTGAGCAAGGCAGTTTATTTGTCGAAAAAGAGGACCTTGCACTTCCTGCGGGCGACACGGTTGAGCCGTGCTGGTGCTGGCGGAGCGTACAAACCCGACATGCGGTCTGATGATGATGATGATGATGATGATGGAGATGACGACAACACCGAGGTGTCCAAAAATGATATCATGAAGATGAGAACAACGGACGAATAACACAAAGAAATTACGGCAGCTAACAATCACCCCCCTCCCCTCGCGCCTTCAGCTGCATTTTGTGGCCCTGAGTTTACGGTCGCAAGGTGGGAGACCAAGCGCTTCCTTCGCCGGTCCTTCGCCACCTCCCTAAACTGCTTTCGGCCAACTCTCCCCTCCCCCCCTCCCAACAGAGGGTGCCCAGCACCACGAGAAATATAACTACAAACAACCATTGCGGTTCTTGCAAGGCGCACCGTAAACTCATCACCAGCCAGCAGAGAGCCACGGCGCGGGCCCCCCTAACCCTCTCTCTTCCCTCAGGTCCCCCTTGTCGGTCTCGCCTCTGCCCAGTGCCCGCTGCCGTTCTGCGGTCGCTCAGCCCTCCAAGAAGCATAGCAGCACATATACATAACAATAAGCAGATCCTAACGCATATCTGCCCACCTAACCCAAATTGCGCGAAAAAAAAATCGCAAATACCCCTTTCCCGCGTGGTCGCCTCTGGGTCCATTATCATTCACGGACATGCGACAGCGCAACCTCTTCATTGTTCCACAGCGCTGAGCATTAATTAAAGGGACACGTGCTCGCGTGATAGTAGTTAATACACTCGCCATTTGTTTCCATCACATGTCCTCGTCATACCGCCAATCCGACCTCCATCGCGTCAAATCATATAGATGTGGATGTGGATTAAATAGAAAGAACGTCCCCGAATTCGAAGTCGTACGTTTCGGTGCCGTGCATCGCCTAGGGAAACCACGAACGCACCGCTAGGATTGGACATTGCAATATACACATTATAAGACGTCTGAAAAGGCAAAGCCTGTAACAAAAAAATTGGGACACAAACCTCCGCCATCGCACGCTCAACCGACATTTTCCTCCCCAATATCGTACAGTTGCGCGCCGAAAATGTACCAAGGATGAAATAGAGGCCAATGCTACACGTCCAGACCAGCCCGGCCAGAAGCCAACGTCCAATACCCTCATCGACAGCGAAATGAAATAAGGTGAGCAACACCAGACAGACAGACAGACAGACAGACAGACAGACAGAGGCGCGAACGGCAAACCAACGGCAGACCGCGCGCGCAAGGCCCACTCTCTAACGCACTGCCCTGCCGCTGCTGCTGCTCCCGAGGCCGCCGATGCAATTGCGCTACAACGACGGTGGCGCCGCCGGCACCGCTGCTGCCGGACGCTCCGGTGCCGTACTCGCCCCCGTGTCGACGTCATCTGAGCCGTGACGGGCTTCAGACACGCCGGACGCTAGTTGCTGTGGTCGTTGCGGAGACGATGAAGACGAGGGCTTAGCATAATGCTCACTGTACGGATCTTGCGAAGGCAGCGATTGCTGCGGCTGCTCCTGGTCATCCGGTTCTCCCTTCTCCCCATCGCCTTCCTCCTCACACTGTTGGAAGTCCCGGCGCTTGTGGCACAGATACACGAAATGCATGCCCTCCAGGCCCGACAAAGCGTCCATGCAGTCGGCATTGCTGGCGGGGTATGGACCTGTACGACAGGCGGTAAGGCAGACTTAGGTGGGATTGCAGTACGGCTCGGTCAGATATGCGGATTGTGATCTAGTTTCAAACGATGTACCTGACTGTAACTAACGTCATCATGTCACACCCCCTGGCCACGTGACATACAGACGCACACAGGGCAGCAGCAGCAGCAGCATCTGCTACTGCTGCTGCTGTTTTTTCTAATGCTTCTGCAGCCGCTGCTTCTAATGACAACGGCCAAACGGACTGCAGCGCTACCTGGTTGATCCTCAGCACCCAGCAGCAGTAGTAGGAGTAGGAGTAGGAGAAAGAGGAGGAGGGAAAGGAAAGTAACTAAGTTTAACGAAAAACACAACTGATGTAACGGCTAACGAAAAACTGACTCACCGCCGACCGTACCTTCCCCGACCGCTCAATCCACCCACCCACTGTAGCAACATCTCGTCCACCATCCAACACACAGTCACAAGGGCCCAACAGATGTCTAGCCGTCACAGCATCCTTACGCCACCGGTCGGCTCGCATCGCCCACCACGCTCTCACCGACACGGTGTCCCAACAACCCCAACTTTCATTTTTTTCCTCCTCCTCCTCCTCTCCTCCTCTGCCTCTCCTCCTCCTTTTCTTCCGCAGAGCGGGAAAACACAGGAAACGTGTCCCGCCCGAAACGCAACCTGAACTCAACCAACCATGCCGTACCTTTGATTAAGGGTCGCACCACGGGATCCGCATCCATGGCCTCCAGAACCTCCTGCTTAGTCAGCGCGTATACGACAATGTCCCAGCCAACAACCTCCTCCAGGTACGGCAGCCGGCTGGCCGGGTCGCCGTACGTGACGAGCATGAAAGCAAAGCCTGGCTTGAGCACTCTGCAAAGGATGTTTTACCAGCGTAACCAGAGTGGCCGGTAAAAGAGAATTACATTCAATCAACAAAATCGCTCATCTCAGATCAGGGTCTTAAAGCACCCAACAAAATTATTGAATATTTCCACCACGGCAGCAAGTCACAGTATATACCGTAAGTCATGATGAGAGCGGCAGGAGGGTGTTAAAAAAAAGCATCTACAGAGATTCTACGCGCGCGCCTACATACCCACGGATCTGCAGCTGCAATGGAGGTAATGTGGGATACTACTAACATGGCAATTTGCTGAAAACAGCAGAACGGAACGAGGAAATCCTCAACTCGACTCACGGAGAGGAGGAGGAGTAGTAACCCCCGGGCACACTACAGGGAAGGATGAGACCGGTCGTCCGGTCCGGGTCCGGGCAACACACGTCTGGAAGAAGCAAACCGGAGCTCGTCCCCAAGCCAACATTCCGTAAGGCCCACCTCACTCCGTCTATGAATGTGCCCTCCTCACTCCATTTCTACAAAGAGGGGACAGACAGACATACACCTTCGCGCGCATCGCAACGCCTTTGGCACAATGCGTGTGTGTGTATGTTTTGTGTGTTCTTTTAATTCACGTCTCGTCTCGTCGGCCACAGTGCGGATGGTGAGTTCTGCCAATTTGTGCCCATACGGCAACAGTACGGCACTATCGTACGCACCTGCGATAGTACAGCAGCATCGTACTACGCACCTGAAGCACTCCGCCAGCATCGCGGTTGCGTCTTGGGCGCCCCGTTCTCCGCACAGGATTGCATCCAGAGTGCCCTTATCGATGACCCCCTCAAAGCTACAATCTGTGAACTCCGGCATGTGCCTGACTCCAGGGAAAGTTCCGTGCGGGAATGTACGGAAGTACGTAATAGATGGGAGCGCGGTGTGGATGAGAACAACCGGAAATTGTGCTTTGCTTTTTTGGGTGTGTTGTGTTGGACAGTGAAGGACAGGAAGCGGATCTGTTGTCCTACCTCTCCTCCTCTGTCCTAATAAGCCCTCGGTACACTTTACATTCCCTTAGGATGCCCCTTCCCCCTATCCATCCATCCATCCATCCATCCAACAAGAGCACCTGGCGTCCGCCACGCGGTACTCGAGAGCGCGCACTCCCTTGTGGAGATCTGCCATGTGGTTGATTACCACGCGGCTGTAATCTATGTTGATGATGAGGCGCCAGCCCGCCCGAGCCATGTCCTCTTGCAGCCGGGAGCTGCCGACGCCCACCTAGAGCGATACGGGAAAATGAGAGTAAGAAAACACATTAGGAAATGTGTGGAGAACCAAAGTAAGAAAGGTGCTTAATGATTAACGGCAAACGGAACGCAGCCAGAGCGCCGGATGAATGAAATCACTGATGCATGACTCAGCTTGGTAATCGGCTGGCACGGATTCGTGAGGTGAGCGGGATGTGGAGGATAAGGGGGAGGATGAGTTGCAACCCAATTACACATGCTATTGGAGGGTGCCTGCTGCTTCAACCGAGGGCTCGAAGTGACAACGCCAGGGTCAATTCAGGTGTAAATTGCGTCAAGCGGCAAGGGTCGATCAATAAGCAAGCTGATATGTACCTGTAGTAAGGTAGTATGCAAGGGAAAGGCTTGGTGAAGTATGGATTGGAGCCCATTGAAGCCTTGATACCAGTCGAATGCGGCAGGCTCCCGTGAATATCGCTCATCCCAATAATCGCAATCTCCATAATGAGGCACTGCGATGCTAATAGCAATATGGGTGACCTCGATGCAGCATACATTTCTGCCATGCACGGCCTATAGGCAAGCTCACTTGTCGTTTTATTGATGACGTACTCCTCAACCATAAGTGATCATGCAAAATTTTCCGGATGATTATATTTCTTTATTAGGAGTTTTTACTGTGCACCGAGCGTGTGCAACAACAACACAAAGAGTCAGTCTGAAAATACGTAAAACTCAACAGCCACGACGGAACAGTGCCCATTTCCAAGCCATGCCAGGCCTACCCAACGAATGACTTTGGAACTTTCTAATGTCGTACATGGGGCCTGCACTTCTCTGCGAAAGATACTAATTATAGCTCCTTTTCAACTAGTTGCATTATGAGGTCATCTAAGCTGGGGCACTAACTGAAAGGAAATGGCACCTGCTTTCCTTTTGGGAAGCTAATTCACTGGTGAAGGTGTTAGGTGACTGAAGTCGTTTCTTACATTTTAAGCAGTTGCAAAAGTTATTAAATTACTTGAATTAAAAGCTACGAGCTTACCGGAAGTACAATAATCGTCTAGAAATTAACGGACTCTTCATGCATGACGTGCAGCTAAACAGGCTAGTTCCAACAAAGCACAGGCACAAGTGTAGCCCTGCAAGTATAGCTCAGCGATGCTGCAGTGACGGCGTGTATGACGAAACGAAAAAGTATTCCAAATAAGGACCGAGTGGTGGCACACCAGTACGGTTAACGGATGGCGAAATGGAGGATCTCAGGGAAGTATTGGCGGTCATCGAAGCATGGCCCAATCTTGTTCAGCGTCGCGATACAGCAGAAGGGCAGCGCGCACAACCACAGCCGAAACCTATAATGTTCCACCCGGACAAGCTTCTCCTCGAGGTGCCCAAAGACCGCGTTGCCACGACCGTGAGCACTTCGAAGGAGACACTTGTGCCGGGGACTGCCAAAGCGACAAACCACAGTACACATCCCTGATAGTGACACACATGAGCTGCCCCTGGGGAAGAGAGCTGCCCTTGGGTTACAGCAGATACACGAGCCGCTGTGGGGATCGAACCCCCGACAGTCCCCAGGACGGCGAATCATGAAACCCTATCCATGCCCAGCACATCCCTCACCGCCGCCAGCTCCATGCACATCACCCCCGCAATGCCTGTACCTCTGCCGCAACCCCAACCATGTGTGGGGCCCTTCCTTTGGCAACACCACCACGGGTCCGTGCCGTTTACACACTCCAAAAGAATTGTTTTGCACACCTGCCAGCAGTCGCACATCTCGAGGTACTCACCCGCAGCAGTAATAGAGTAGATGTAGAACCGTCGGTTGTACGGTGGAATCAACTTTCAATAGATCCCCGGCTTTGACGGACCTCCCCCCCCACTCGTACGGCACTTGTAACTTGTAGCAGCAGCAGCAGCAGCAGCAGCAGGGCCACGATGTCCCCTCACGTTATACCCAGATTCATGCGGGCAGATAGTGAGACGGGAAGTGCAGCGCATTTGAACAACAGCCTATTTGTCAATCTGTCAATATTAGGACAAGTCAAAATGCGCAATCATGACTCCATGATTGCCCCACACCAAGGGGGCTTTCCCATCACGCCCCCCACCAAGGGCTTCCCCTTCATGCCCTCGCACCAAGGGGGCTCTTCCTTCATGCCCTCGCACAAAGACGGCTCTTCCTTCCCGTCCCGCACCAAGGGCTTCCCCTTCACGCCCCGTTCCACGGGCTTTTCCTTCACGCCCCTCGTATGCCTAGATGCCGATGCATGTATGCTCATATGCACCAGCTTCCCATCCCGGGCCCTCCGATTCTCAACCTCGCTAGCCAAGGAAAACATTCTCCTCAACAAAGTCCAGGGCGCGAGTATCTTCTCATCCCTCGACCTACAAAGCGGCTACCATTAAATCCGCATCACGGAGGAGGACATCCCCAAAACCAGCTTCATAACATCCTTCATAAAGTTCCAGTGCAAAGTGCTGTGCCGGCATGGCATTGCATGGCAGTGAAGGTGTTAAAGGGCTACCTCTTTGAGGCAGTCATGCATGCTGCACTGGCGACTGGCGGCAAGTTCGATGTGTTGCCATTGGACCCGAAGACTCTGGAGCGGGGCAAGGAGGAGAAGCTGGATATCCCGGAATGCAAGCAGTATAACATCTTCACAGACAACGAGGTCCATGGTATGATGAGCACTACGATGGACACATACTTGAGGCCCAAGTCCTCCAACTTCCCTGTCATTGATGCTCTTATGGTGCCGGCAATGTACCTTTTCCAGATGACTGTGTCGGCTATGAAGGAAATTAATGCTGATGACCTCGAAGACGTGTTCAAGCGACTCGGCATCTCTGCTCCGGGCCAGGAGGGCCGCCAATCCAGCCTTTACTTTGTGGTGGATCCTAGCGTCTACAACAAGTTTAAGGTGCGGGCAGGAACGAAGAAGAGGAAGGCCTGCGAGGAGTGAGAGGCTGCCTGGCCGTCCGACCCCAAAAAGCATGTGCGGTCAGCCAACACCCGGTTGTACATTCTGGATGGCATTGATAGCATTGAGTGAAGGTGTCACGCACACGTACTAAGACCTGCACAGCAGCACCTGATGCATCCTCACCACAACAATTGTTGTGCTGGGTGAAGGGACAGCTTTGTGGACACCTTGGACCTATGGCCACGATCTTCATGTTTTGTTGAGCTACTGTGTGCGAGCTACTGTCCTTATTGATGCAGTGGTAGTAGCCCCTTTCGTTAGCCATGGAATGCTGCTGATGTCAATTGCTAGTTGGTTAGGCAAGCTGTGGGGTTGCCCAAATAGGCAATCTGGTGCAGTTTCTGAAGGAAGTGTCTGCTAGGTGTTTTAGTATGTACTGTTGTGTTGGGTTGGGCAGATGAGTAAAAGTGTGCACATGTTCAGATGGTTGCTGATGACTGGCAGTATGTAGGTATCAAAATGGCATGTGTCACTGCGTTTTTTTACTGGTGTAACCAGTACTTGCCAGTATCTAATCTATTGTATCACAGCTGATGAATATTCCTCATCCTCTGACCCTAGAGAATGCATAGGTTCCGAACCGTTCTGAACCATGTCACCCCAACAGTCAGCAGGTGCACCAACCGGCAACAAGATGTGTCGTACTCCTAACTAAGCCAACACACGGTAGGGCTCCTGTCTAACAGGCCACTCATATACTCGTACACAATGCTGCACAAAGTAAGTACGGATCACATTCTGGGGTTTTAAGCCGTTCCAGGAGTTCGTCTATCCCCACATATTCAAACTCGAATTAGATGACATTGTAGCACTGCCCATATGAATACACGAGTTGTGTAACACGGTACGACAGGTTGCATCTGCAGCCCTACACCCTGGCTGTCACCAAAGGGGTTTGCCACCTCATCGTATGACGCCTTACAAATGCAAATTAAATAAGGAAAACATCTCGCAATGGATATAATGCAACAGAGAGCCGACATGATAATACTGCTGCCAGTTTTAGTCAGTCCCGATAAGGTTCAGCTTTCATACCGCAGATGCTGTTGTGTGAATGTCGTACACGGCCTGCAGGAACTCAAGTATGAAGCATCCGACAGCATGCAGCATCCGACTACCTACAAAACGATATGGACGGTGGTCCTGCAGTTGAAAAACTAAAACTAAAAAATGGCATGAGGGTTCTATGGGTTTTACGGTTTTTTTCAACGATTTCAAATAAACCTACAAAAACTTCCCCCTTCCCATTATAACGCTCCCCCAGCCCATTATAACACACGTATCAAGGATGCCTGGGTACTTAAATACTTTATAGAAAAGACGGCAGTGCCCTTAGACTGTCACACCGGTGACCCACCATGGCAGCCCCCCAACGCGACAGACCGTAAACGGAATCAATTTCCAGCTCCATATCAGCACTGTCATATAGACCCGATACATTCTCGGGAGATAGGGCCACAGGACCTAAGACCCCTGACTGCGAAGAACACAAAGTCGCCCCCACCATCCTGTCGACTAGCAACCGAGCACGGTACAAAATTCTGTAGTATATCAAATGCTCAGATTATAACGCACCAAAACGAGACTCACCGCAAAAACCATACCAACAGAACTCGTACCGACAACGCACGAGCGACGCAAAGGAGGCGCCATCCGAAGTGCAAGGCGGGCCAATATACTTGTACAAGTCAACACCGATATACAGCTAACAAGGACATGGCGGTAGTTCCTGGCCACTTTCAAGGCCGGCCGATAATGGGCAGCCATCCCAAGGACGGCCTGGGCTGCGGCCCCACAGATAAAACAGCAAGAGATGCGTGCAATGTGGGAACTAGGTGTGTCCCCCATGATCCTAAGGGTGAGGACGTGACTTCAGTAGTACACCTGTACGATGATTGGGAATGTGGCCTGATGGCGTGTCGAAAGATAAGACATGCCGGGGTGAATGACGCCCCTGACAGCCGGACAGACACTCAGGGGATATCCTCGGTCAAGGAGATGCGCTGTAGTATAGCTTGGCAATCTGATGTGTGTGACTCGATCAAGGGCTGGATAGGGGGGGAGCACAAGCCGGTATCCTGTGAGGGTCCCCTGCAACCTGCAGGGACGCAGTATGGCTGCAACTCTGAACCTGTTGTAACCCACAACCAAACACTGCCACACCATAGCACTCGTGAAACTGACGGCCGTAGGACCTTGAGAGACAACTGGAAGGCAGGGTGTACAGACAATGTGTACCCAAGCACAGGTTCGGAGAAAGAGGTCTGGGGCAACAGAGCAGGCGAGACCTCGTATCAACAGGGCCACTCGAGAATTATACCTCGCAGCATTCAGAAACTCCTGGCGACATCGATTGGGGACGATATTAGTGCACACTCCCCGGACGGAATTGCGGCATCTACAGCTAGGGTCATCTACGGGCGTCTGTACCGGAGTGCCTGTACAGCCTGGACCGGCACTCGGTACGGGCTTGCCGTGATCGCTCTCATTGTCTGTATGGCTGTAGCG